GGCATCTTGGCCCGCCAGAACACCACCAGGGCACCGGGGACTTTGCCTGCCACCACTGTCCCGAACCCTCGGGATCCTCACCAGCTCCAGCAGCTTGATGCCATCACTACCAGGAGTGGCAAGACCACATCAGCTGCTCCTGCCCAGCCCAGTCGAAATGATCCACCACCTGCTTCAACACTTCCAGCTGATACTGCAGACGTGGGGGAAGACACAACAACGCCTGCTCCCAAGCCACAGCCAGTGGTTAAGGAGCATGTACCCCAGCTTCCTTTCCCCACTCGCCTGCATAAAGACAGGCTGGAGACTGAGTTGCCAAGTTCATGGCAATGTTGAAGCAGGTCAACATCAGCATGCCGTTCGTGGAGGCACTGTCAAAGATGCCCAAGTATGCCAAATTCATGAAGGACCTCCTCACCAACAAGAAGAAACTTGGGGATCTTTCGACAGTGATGCTGAGCGAGGAGTGTTCTGCCATCATGCAGAACAAGCTGCCCGAGAAGCGAAAAGACCCAGGGAGTTTCACTATCCCTCTTGTCATTGGCAGCATGCATGTAGGAAAGTCCTTGGCGGACCTAGGCGCTAGCATAAATGTCATGCCTTATAATCTGTTTAAGAAGCTAGGCCTAGGTGAACCTAGAACTACTAGGATGAGCATTCAGTTAGCTGATCGTTCTATCGTGCATCCTAGGGGTATCATTGAGGACTTGCTTGTTAATGTGGGTGCATTCACATATCCTGTTGACTTTGTTATTTTGGATATAAATGAGGATGTGGACGTACTTTTGATTTTAGGTAGACCGTTTCTCGCCACCGCCAAGGCGCTTATTGATGTGCATAGTGGTAAATTGATTCTGCGTGCTGGTGATGAACAGGCTACTTTTTCTGTGTCTGAGAATGGGAAACACCCTCATTTGCATGATGACATAGATTACTGTGACATGCTTGCTGATTATGAGACCGCACTCGCCATCACGAGTGCGGGTACTAACGATGTTCTTGAGCGTTGTATTTTGCTAGGTGAGCAGGCATCGCAGGAGCCGCAGCTGGCGGAGCAGTTGGCCGAGTTGGAGAGTGGCCCCTTCTTGGAGGGCGACAGGCTGTTTAAACCGCTCTCATCCTCCACCCGCATCGCTACTTCCTTGGAGGAGCCACCAGAGCTGGAGCTTAAGCCCCTCCCTCCTCATTTGGAGTATGCATTTCTCCGGGAGGGGAATAAGCTGCCAGTCATCATCAGCTCGACCCTCACACCCGAGCAGAAGACCAGACTGGTGGCCTTACTGAAGCGGTACGAGCGAGTCCTCGCATGGAAGATCACCGACATCCGGGGGATCAGCCCTTCTTTCTGCTCCCACCGGATACTGATGGAGGATGAGATGCGGCCAGTGAGACAGCCGCAGAGGAGACTGACACCGAACCTGGAGGCTGTGGTTCGGGCAGAGATCGTGAAGCTGTTGGACGCGGGGATCATCTTCGCCATTTTCGACAGCGAGTGGGTCAGTCCCACCCAGGTGGTACCCAAAAAGGGTGGGATGACTGTGGTGCCAAACGAGAAGATTGAGCTGATCCCGATGCGCACGGTGACTGGGTACCGAGTCTGCATTGATTACCGGCGTCTCAACGACGCTACTCGGAAGGACCACTTCCCGCTACCATTCATTGATCAGATGCTGGAGAGACTGGCGGGGCACGAGTTCTACTGTTTCCTGGATGGGATGTCCGGGTACTTCCAGATCCCGATTGCACCGGAGGACCAGGCGAAGACCACTTTCACCTGCCCCTTCGGCACCTTTGCTTACCGGAGGATCCCATTCGGGCTATGCAATGCCCCGGCGACTTTTCAGCGATGCATGCTCGCTATCTTTGACCGTCTGGTCGGCGAGATTATGGAGGTGTTTATGGACGATTTCTCGGTTTATGGAGACTCATTCTCTCACTGTCTCCATAACCTGGAGCTTGTCCTTAGACGGTGTGAAGAAACGAACCTGGCACTGAGTTGGGAGAAGTGTCACTTCATGGTTCGAGAAGGCATAGTTCTTGGGCATAAGATCTCCAAGATGGGGATTGAGGTGGACAGAGCGAAGATCGAGACTATCAGCAAACTACCTCCTCCTACATCTGTAAAGGGGATCCGGAGTTTTCTTGGTCATGCAGGTTTCTACAGGCGGTTCATCAAGGATTTCTCCAAGATTGCTCTGCCCCTGACGAAGCTTCTAGAGAAGGATGCCCCCTTCCAGTTCACTGATGCATGCACAACGGCTTTTATGACCTTGAAGGAGAAGCTCACACAAGCTCCTATCATGGTTGTTCCTGACTGGTCCTTACCATTTGAGATTATGTGCGATGCCAGTGACTTTGCTGTTGGAGCTGTGTTGGGGCAGAGGCGTGATCAGCATTTCCGACCTATCTACTACGCCTCCAAGACCTTGAATGATGCCCAGGAGAACTACACCACCACGGAGAAAGAGCTGCTCGCGGTGGTGTTTGCCTTCGATAAATTTCGTCCTTATCTGGTCTTGTCCCATGTGATTGTGTATACTGATCACTCCGAGATTCGATACTTGATGAGCAAGGCTGATGCCAAGCCTAGGCTCATACGATGGATCTTACTGCTGCAGGAGTTTGATATTGAGATTTGGGACAAGAAGGGAGCAGAGAATGTTGCTGCCGATCACCTCTCCCGGTTGGACGCACCCCCTGCGGACAACCTCGAGGAGGAGGTCAATGACTCCTTTCCAGATGAGAGGCTGATGATGATGTGCCTGGTGGAGAGTGTCACCCCCTGGTATTCTGATTTTGCGAATTATCTTGTGGGCCAGCAGCTGCCCAAGGGGATGACCACTCACGCCAAGAGGAAGTTCTTCTCCGACCTGAAGCACTACTTCTGGGATGACCCCCATCTTTTCAGGATCGGAGCTGACGGGATCATCCGTCGATGTGTTATGGAGAGTGAGATGGAGGGCATTCTATCTCACTGTCATGAAGGACCTGCTGGCGGTCACCACGGAGGAAACCGCACGGCGAGGAAGGTGCTCCAGTCGGGCTTCTACTGGCCCACGCTCTTCAAGGACGCAGACGCCTTCGCACGCCGGTGCGACCGATGCCAGAGGTCAGGTAACATCTCTGCCCGTGATGAGATGCCCCAGAATGTGTTTATTACTTGTGAGATTTTTGATGTCTGGGGTATCGACTTCATGGGCCCCTTCCCTCCATCCTTTGGAAATACATATATTCTTGTTGCTGTTGACTACGTCTCTAGGTGGGCTGAGGCGCAAGCTTTGCCCACTAATGATGCTAGACGTGTTTGTGGTTTTTTGAAGCAGCTATTCTCCCGGTTCGGGACACCTAGAGCCATCATAAGCGACCGAGGCACCCATTTCCAGGGTCAGTTCGATAAATTGTTGTCTCGCTATGGTGTGACTCATAAGGTGTCCGTAGCCTATCATCCTCAAACCAGTGGCCAGGCCGAGCTGACGAACCGGGAGCTCAAACGGATCTTGGAGAAGACGGTGAACCTATCCCGCAAGGATTGGTCCACCAAGCTCGATGATGCTCTGTGGGCATATCGCACTGCCTACAAGACGCCCATTGGTACCTCACCGTACCTGCTTGTCTATGGGAAGGCATGCCATCTGCCCGTGGAGCTAGAGCACAAGGCCTTCTGGGCCCTTAAGCTGCTAAACTTGAATGTTAGTGTTGCAGGTGATGAGAGAAAAATGCAGATGTTGGAGCTGGAAGAGTGGCGTTATCACGCCTATGAGAACACCAAGCTGTACAAGGAGCGCACGAAGCGCCTCCACGATGCACGGTTGCGGGGTCCGAAAGAGTTCCAGGTTGGTGATCGAGTTCTCCTTTATAACTCTCGCCTGAAACTCTTTCCTGGAAAACTCCGTTCCCGGTGGTCCGGACCGTACACGGTCACGCAGGTGTTCCCGTATGGCACGATTGAGATTGCTAACCCGCAAACTGAGCCGTTTAAAGTGAATGGCCATCGTCTCAAGCTCTACCTGGGAGACGAGGTCGAACGTGCGGAGTTAGCAGTGGAACTCGCGGACCCTTAGTTCCGCAATTGGCGTCCAGCTAAAAGACGGTAAAGAAGCGCTTGTGGGGAGGCAACCCCACCACGGTTTGATTTTCTTTCTTGTGTTTTGAGTCGGATTGTAACCCGGTTTGGGTTTGGTTTGTTTTCTTTTAGTTTGGATGATATTTTATTGGGCTGACCATTGAACCTAACATACCGTGTTTGAGCTCTTCTTTTCCCCTTTGGCTGTGCTTGCCCCGACTGGCCCGTTTCCAGTCCCCTGCAGTCCGTGCATACCGGTAACATCTTTCCCTATCCCTTCCCTATTCTCCATTGAGGGCAATGTCGATCTTAAGTGTGGGGGGGTGTTTATCTTTTGACTGCATTAGATCTGTTTGTGTGCTTGGAGCCTAGTCCACTGTCCAAATTTTTAAATTTGAGGGCTCCAAGTACGTGTTTCCTTGCAATTGCCTGCTCAGTATGCTTTGAATTGACAGTCTTTATAGTAATATGCAACCTAGGGAGGTAGTGTAGCACTATGGAGGATGTTGATGCATTTAAGGAGTCTCATTTCTTCTTCATATTGAGTTGGTTGATTGAGTGAATTAGTGATCTTAGGACCCTTGAATTGTGTGGTGTTGTGGATTCTCTGCCTGTCATGGACTCTTGTATCATGTTTTGAAAATAACAGGTGCTCGAAAATGTGCTTCAAAATAAACGTCTCCCGTGCGAATAGGGCGAAAGTGTGTAAGGGGAGACGGGAATTCGTTCCCAATTTCCACCTACTACTTCCAGCCCCCTTACATGTTTTTCCCCCGCACGAGGCTCGAGACATCCGCTCCTGGCATGGCCGGTAAGAGCAGGTTGGGACCCTTGAGAAAGAAAAAAAGAAAAGAAAAATAACAGAAAACAAGCATAATAGAAAGAAAAGGGGTTCCAACCATCCTTTTGAGAATCTTGATCTGTTGTTTTTGAGAATCTCTTCATCCACAATTCATTTGCCCTCTGTTCACTATTTGCCATGATGCCGACTCGCCGAAGAAGTTATGAGATGACTTGTGCGTCGGTTGACCTCGTAAGTTGCTAAATGATCTAGGAAGTCCTCTACCTACGATCTGGGTTGTTTGTTGCTATGGAGGTCTGGAGAGTTGCATTGGTTTGAGTTAGGTTTGCTTGGGGACAAGCAAACGGTTAAGTGTGGGGGAGTTTGATAGACCGTTAATTACACATGTTTTTACCCCTGTTCTTACACCGTTTGAGATGTGATTTCTCGTGTTTTAGACCAATTTCACGCTAGGTTGTGCTTGTTTGTGATGTTTCAGGTCCTAGTACGTGAATGAAGGCTTAGGAGCGAGTCTGGGGTCGATTGGACGAAGAACGGACGAATGGCGAGGTTTTTGGGGAGCTGCACGGGCAGACCAGGGAGTCTGCACGGCCGTGCACGTGAGCAATATGGCCGTGCGCCTTATGCCGAGGACACGCACGGGCAACCCCTGAAGCTCGCACGGCCGTGCACCCTGGCCGTGCGAGAGGGCTGAAGTTCGACTAAATGACACGCTGCGTTTTGAGTTGCACGGCCAGAATGGTGATATGCACGGCCGTGCACCCTGCCTGTGTGAGTCGGGATTTTCTCCTTTTAAGCAGAATTTCAGCCACAATTCGGGGGGATTCGAGTTTTTGAGAGAGAGATCAGTTCCTAGAGAGAGAAAGTGACGAGCAAGAGTTCCCAAGTGCCCTAGATTGATCTTCAACACCATTGGAGGCCAGCTTGAGCTTGGAGAAGTGCCGATCAGCGTCCAGAAGCAGGAATCCATCCTTCGCAGTATGAATTCCGTGTCTGATTCTGCTTTTGCTTTCTTCTCCATGGAGTAGTTCTCCCATTCATCTGGGTATGGAGAACCCTAGATTTGTATGTTAGGCTTTGATTGTATGAACCCAAGTACTGATTATGTGATTGATTATATTCGATTGAGGTTTTAATGATTGAATGACTTGAATCCTGATCAAATTCCTGTTGTTTCTGCTTTAACCTAGAATGAGAATATCTGCCTAGGTTAATAGAGTATCCTTGATTGAAGGTAGGGAGTTGGTGACTTTAGTCGAGGAGCCAACTCACTATTCTGTACCGGATTTACTCCGGTAGTGGAGGTTTTGTTCTTAGGGCCTCAATCTGTCGACTCCGGTGGAGGTTAGTCGCCCGCTAGAGAGTCAGATTGAGAGGGTCTGAAGACCTTTAGTCGAGACTTCAGGCTGTTTAAGAACCTTCCGCAGTATAACCATCATAGAAACTGAACTTGGTAATTACAATCCGGCTTAACTGCAGTCTAGGGGGAACCATATCCGGGTGACCTCTTTAACCTGAATACAACAGTTTACTTGCTTTGTTAGTTTGATAGTTTAGACTTGCATCCCAGTTTCATTGCTAGATAACACGAACTCACTGAGTAGTCAGCAAATCTAGGACCCGGGTTGACATATAAACCTAAACCCGCTATACTACGCTTTAGGGAGTGGTTGCACTTGGCCAATTCCTAGGGTGACAGTAGAGTCGAGTCACAATTACATGGAGTAAAAAAAATGATTTTTTTTGTTTGATCTAATTCGACACAAATATCGAGTCGATACGATATGGATGGAATTATTGTTTAACCTATGACTATACATGCGATCTTACCTTTCAAAGTTTAATGTAAAAATTAGACATGCTAATTTAAAAAATAAAAGAATTAAAAACAATATAAATTGATTGTATTTTTACCAAGATTTCACGTTTTTCTTATTCTTCTTCATGTTTGCCGAAATCACTGTGAGATTAAGATTCTAAAACTTTTGAAGGTTGATGCTTGGTTTATCTGTTTAACGTAAAACCCTAATGCGAAAAAGCCTATTCTGAAGGAACCTCTTCCCAAACATCCACACCACAACGATATATCATCTTTATCATCTCAAAATCCAATTCGCAAGCATGATCTCATTTAGGAGTTAAACAACTTTAGATAGCCTTTGTTTTTTCCTTAACCACACAAAATAAATCTACACATAGCAAAATTCAAATAATTATTATGTAGCATTTACCTTAAAACAAATCTTCTTTTCCCTTAATCCTAATCGCATTTACTAAAAAGAAAACCAAAAGTCCAATAATAATGAGTACCCTTGAGTGTTTGAAAAATTGTCAAAGTTGTCCTTCCACCAAATAAGGAGAACCAATCAAAGTGCAAGGTGACAACAATGACATAGAGTGAAGTGCATAATATATTGTGTAGATTATATATATGGTGACTACTTCGGTGCACTCACAAAATGAGTGCGTTCAATGCACCCAACTCAAAAACTAGTCTTAAGGTGTCGGATTTTGAATTTTAATTTGTAGAATTAGTGTAATATGATGATATAACATATGATAACAACTAATTAGCAGATTACCCTAAGTTCTAGACCTCCAATTTTGAGTTCTATCTCTAAATCCCAAATTATAAACCCTAACCCTAAATCTCTAAACTCTAAATCCTTCAAATTAAAGTAAATCTTTAATGGTTTTTGTGCAAATTCATGTGTGTTATTGTTCATCACATCATAAGTGATGATTGACATCATTTTGATATAAATCGCATGTTTAATAACGGTTATGAAGCGAGTGCAGTGAATGCACCTAAAAAAGTGAGTGCACCGAAGACGCCACCATATATATAATTAATATGTATACCTATCCGATCGATCGATATTCCGATTTTCGCCGAAATACTATCAAAACGCTCAATTTTAAATCGCGAACTTTCTAGCCATCGAAATATGAGTTTTTCCGGAACGGGATATTACAATTTATTACTTCATGTAGTATTTGACCTTAATTGGAGTAGTCAGTGAAGCAAATTATATATTGTTGAGGTTGGTGTACGCTTATCTTACTATATGCACACCGAATTTTTTATATTCACACCATGAATTAATCGAAGTTTTGGGCATTATATTATACTCTAACTTCAATTCAAATCATACGATGCATTTGATCTTACAATAAAAATCAATGATTCTGATTCATCAAAATTACCAATGTAAAAATAATAAGTGTGAGCACAAACATAAATTGTATATATCGTATGATTGTGTTGCAAATATTTGTTTACTCTTCATCTTTACACCAGAATGTAATGGACAATTTACAATATTTTGGCGAATCCCTACTGCTTTACCCTATGTTTTTATAGGAAGGAAAAGGAGGGAAGGGAAAGAAATGAATGGAAAGTTGAGGTACCAATGCATTTTCCTCTGTTTTTTAAGTTTAGAACAGTGATGAAGGGAGGGAAAATGGGGAAAAGGTTAACGTGGAACCTAACTCCCCAAAATGGAGAGAAAACGACCCACTAACATCAATTTTGTTTACTTTATTTGCCATCTCTCTTCTCTCTCCTCTCTTCTCTCTTTTATGTATCTTCTCACCCATTATTAATGGGTTAATTGCATGGTTGGTCACTGAAATTACAAAAAAAGTTAAAGTTTGGTCACTCGAAATATTTAAATCCATTGGTGGTACTTCAGTTTATCGAAATAGTTCACGTTTGGTCAGTCTCCGTCCAACTCCGTTAACATTTGCTTACGTGTCAACTCTAAAAGTTTACCGTTAAATATGTGACGTGATAATTTAAAAATAATAAATTTAACAAAATTAAATTTTTTAAAATTGCCATCTCATTTCCACATCATTACCACTTTTGTCTAAATTAAATAAAAAAACTAATTTCTTCTAATTAGGATCTGTTTCCATCTCATTTGCACTTCATTTCCACGTCATTATTTAAAGTCGAGCAATCAAGATGGAATGACAAAATTAAAAGTTCAAGCTTTCAGCTCTGGAATTTACCATTCGATGACACCAAAGCAATAGATCCTGCTCAACACAACGCTCATCAAATGGAGAACACCCAGTTCCTCCAATGCTCCAAAAGGAACCCCCAACAGATCCATTCGATGATCTCCGCCGTCGTTGCCGCTTCCATTGATGCTGATTGCTGAAACTCTCATCACTCTTTTCATCCTTGATTTCATGGATTTGGCGAAATAATAATTGGAATCAGGTTCAAAACCCCAGAAAACCCCATGAAATTAATTCAAGATTTGTTGGAGTTTGGGGCAAAAAGGGCGAACCTTTTCTTGGAGCAATGGCACCGGCCGGAGGAGAAGCCGCATCTGACGTCATCCATTAAGCTGCACTTCCTCTTGAGGGAGGAAGAAGACAAGGGAGGCTTTCGTGAGAAGGCTGGGTGAACTGAAACCCTGAAGACGACATAGATCTCTGCATATTGTCGATATCCCCCGTCAGGGAAGAAATGAACGAGGTAGCAGCGGCAGAGATGGAAGGAGAATTTGAGAAAATGATGGTGGAAGACGGGACCAAATCGTTCCTCTCCTTCGCCAACGCGACCGCTTTCTGATGGTGGTTGGTCGGCAGGGGAGGCAACCGGTGAATCGGAGTCGGTTGGTACACCTTGACCGCCGAGCCACCGGAAACAGAGCAATACCTTTGCTTCGTCGGAGGAGGAACAATCACCGGAGCAGAGTAAGATGACGGCCCGGGCTGATCCTGAACGATCTTCTTCTCCAACCGAGGAGTGACTCCGACGGCGGCGGCGAAGGTAGAAGCGGGAACGGGGGCTCTTCTGAATCTGGCTTGGCCGGTTCGATTCGTCTTGTCGAGGAGATGAATCACCTTCCTGAAATTATAAACAGCTAAATCCGTAACCGCCTGGATGTTCCGATCATCGACGACGGCGGAGGAAGAAGAGGAGCCGGAAGCGGAAGCCTCCTCCTGGTAGAACTGCAGCTGGTTGAGCAGCTTGATTACCTCCTCCACGCTCTCGATCCCCCTCATCACTCCTGTAGCTTAGCCGCGAATCCGCCGTCGGCGGAGTAACCCATCAGCTCTACAACCAACAAATGGAAGCGGCAGCGACGGTGGGGTATGATGCCGGCGGGTATTGATATTGGGGTTTAGTAGAATTAGGGTTTTTATTTATTTTAAATAAAAGGGTCAGTGAGGTGGAAATGAGATGTCAGTTTTGAAAATTTTAATTTTATTTAATTTATTATTTTTAATTGCCACGTCACACATTTAACAGTCAACTTTTAGAGTTAGCCGCCACATAAGCAAAAGTTAACGGAGTTGGACAGAGAGTGACCAAACGTGAACGATTTCGGTAAACTGAAGTACCACCAATGGATTTAAATATTTCGAGTGACCAAATTTGAACGTTTTTTGTAATCTCAATGACCAACCATGCAATTAACCCATTATTAATTGTAGTGACCTCTCTTTTATGTATCTTCTCACCCATTATTAATTGTAGTGAGTTATAGATAAAAATGTCCAGTAGAAAAACTTGCATAATTTATTGGGTTTTATTACAATGAGAAAGGGAGCATAAAAAATTGGGTAAATACAATTTAATATCCAAACCTTTTATTTTAAACAATATAATAGCCAAACCTTCTCGAAAACAATCTAATATCCAAATCGTCAATTTTTTGTCTGTTTGATCGTTAGTTGACACTTCAAAAAAGTTCGAAGTACGACACTTCATCAATATCCATCGATATCTTCTCTGAAAAACCACCAACATATCGTAGTTTCAAACCCGAGAAGTCTATGACTCCACCATGATGGTATAGAATATCTAAATATTCAGTCATCTGCAATGCCAAAACAAGAAAACAAAGTTGTATTGTGACAATTTCCCCTAAACAAAGCTTTTTTGAAGTGTCAACTAACGGTCAAACGAACGAAAAGTTGACAATTTGGACATTAGATTGTTTTCGAAAAGATTTGGCTATTACATTGTTTAAAATGAAAGGTTTGGATATTAAATTGTATTTACCTAAAAAATTATAACAAGATGGTGAGTTATAGATAATGATAGGAATAAGTAAATTTTCTTATCTATTTCCGTTGAAAATTGGTATTGATCCTTATAATTAAAATAATGGTCCCTAGGTCATATTTTGTGGTGACTTGATATGAAAAATTACGCATCAATATAACGTAATGAAATTTTTAGTTTGAATTCACATTGTTTTTGCAGCTCATCTAGGGTGTGCGCAATGGTCCGGACCGCATCGGATCAAACAAATGTTTTGATCGAATGACACCAAACATATTATAATGTGGTTCGATTCCTAGTCACATGAATTTTATAATTGTTAAAGAAAATGGACTGAATTAATATTTGGATCGGACCAAGCCAGACCAAATGAGTGATTTACATCACGTATAATGTTGTTTTACGCTATACCTAAAATGTTACGTTCCTAGTAGAAACGGCATCAAAGTGTGAAATTTTTGTAGAATGAATGTTAGGGAGGGGCTAGTGTGATTTGTTGTATGTTTCCGATTTTAGTTGTTATGTTGACGAATCAATAAAATAGAGACAAAATTTTAACAATAAGTTCATACAAAAATTCAAACCATCTACTTTTGATTTTTAATAAATAATAGTGAACAAAATTAGTAAGAAAGTACAAATTTAATTCACAATTCATAACCAATGAAAATAATATTAACATATAATCAAATCATTTTACTATTATATACTCAATAAAATAACATACCGTCACATTTCCCAATACACATTTTCTTTTCCACTTTACTCCATAAAACACCATTTTCCTTCCAATTTCCTTCACCTCCCCTCCTTTTCCTCCCTTCCTTTGAAGGTAAGCGTAAGGGATAGCTCGGAACGGCAACGTTTTCACTTCTTATAGAGATTCTGGATAATGGATTGGGAAGCGCTCTAACGCAATCCTTAAACCTTTTTTTTTTTTTAATCCTCTCCCTTCCAATCCAGTCTACCTTAGCCCAGCTTCCCCCTCTGTCGCCGGCGTGCTCCTCTAGCAGCCACCATGTCCCTTCTCCTCCGATCCCTCCCTCTGATCACCGTCCGTTCTAGACAGTCTCTGCCTCTCATCCACTCCGTTTTCAAGTCCCGATTTCCAAACCCACTCCTTAAAACCGGACGATACGCTTCTTCTGTTTCTGCTTCTGCCTCCGCTTCTCCCCCTCCTCCCTCAGCAGAAACGCTTCCAAGGCCTCAAATTCCGTTTACGGATGCTCTTGATTGGGTTTCCCGTACTGGCCTCTGCGGAGACTTGTCAACCGACGACGTGGGTAAGCGTGTTCGCCTCTGTGGGTGGGTTGCTTTGCACAGAGTTCATGGAGGCCTCACGTTTCTTAATCTCCGAGACCACACTGGCATTGTCCAGGTAGACTAACACTGATGCAGCTCTTCAATCGTCTTTTTCTCTTCTTTTCAAATATGTTTGCCTTCTTCCCCGGGAGGAAAACTATGCGATTTTTAGGATTATAGTGCTGTAGCCTTTTTTTTTTTTTTTTTTCTAAAGTTGACTGACTTGGTAATTTGATTATTGGCTGGGGTGAAACTCTAGGTGACGACACTTCCTGATGATTTCCCAGAGGCTCATTCCGTCGTAAATGACCTGAGGGTGGAGTACGTAGTTGCTGTAGAGGGTATTATCCGGTCTAGGCCTAGTGAGTCTGTGAATACAAAAATGAAAACGGGCTTGATCGAGGTAATGCTACTTCCTTCTTGTCCTTTTATCTGCCGGGCGTTGAAAAGCATAACAACAGGTCCCCATATTCTTACAGTCCTAGCCATATTGGTGTGCAGGTAGCAGCAGAACATGTTCAAGTCTTGAATGTGGTTAGAACCAAGTTGCCTTTCTTAGTTACCACTGGAGATGATGCTAAAGATTCAGTGAAGGAAGAGATTCGATTGAGGTGGCTGATTCAATATTACCTTAATTCACTTGCCGTGTTATGAATCTTGGGGGTCTCTGCAATTTTGGATGCTTGAGCTGTATTGAATTTGGCATTATGTTCTCTGACAATATATTGTATGCATGTATTGATTACTTGATGTGATAATGACATCTTTGAAGAAGTTTAACGACAGATATCACATGGGTAGATGGTGTGGATATTTTCCTGAGCTGCCAACATCATTAGGTCCTTGCAGGGTTTTTTCTTCTTCTGCAGAATGTATGAATGACGTCTTTATTTTTAGTAGTAGAACATATAGATTAGTTTCAGGTATCGTGTAGTTTTGTGGTTAATAGTTATATTCTTGGAAAATTATGCTGCATCCTCATGTGGACAGCTGCCATATTCCCCAACCTTGATAGGAAAACCATAAAGTTCTTCCCTCATCCTATAACTCTTTCATCCACTGGAAATTTTGTACTTTTCCTTTTTCACAACATTTTGTACTTGTTTCGACCTTTCAGAAGTATTCTTTTAATTTAGTGTTGATTTGTTTCCATAAGTTGACAACTATCCAAATTGCATAAGCAGGTATAGATGCCTTGACCTACGTAGGCAACAAATGAGTACCAACATAATGCTCCGTCATAGGGTGGTAAAACTCATCCGGAGGTTTCTGGAAGACTTGCATGGATTTGTTGAGGTAGACATGGAAACTTGGCTGAAGGGACTTGATTTTATATGTATATTGCTCTTGTGATCTGATCCTTATTCGCATTTACAAGGTAGATTGAGACTCCAGTACTATCGAGATCTACTCCAGAAGGCGCTCGGGATTATTTGGTGCCGTCAAGAGTTCAGGTATTGCCATTTGTTTTGTCTACAGTAGTGGTTTAGTGCTGCCTTAGGTTTAGTAGAGTACGTAGTGAATTGGACCACATTGGTTTCCTGGTGGATAATTGTCAACTGTTTTTGTCTGTGCCTCTAGATAATAAATCTCTCTCATGTGCTTCATCTATTGGTTTCTGGATCTGATTCTCTAACCTGGTTCATCTATTTTTTACTGCCTTACTGGGATTTTAAAGTTCTTTCTCTGCTTGGCTTACAGCCTTGATTCATTCTGTTTTTCAAGTCAGGAACATTCTACGCTTTGCCACAAAGTCCACAACTTTTTAAGCAGATGTTGATGGTCTCTGGTTTTGACAAATATTATCAAATGGCAAGGTAATGTCTCTACTTGGCTGGCTGGAACTCATTGTTACATGATAGCAATAGCTAACTGCAACTATTAGACTTACTGCACCAGTCGTTTCATTGAAAAGATAACTGAACTTAGTGGTTTTTATGTCAGTAGTGAGGACAACAGCTGTGCTCTTTGACCACAGTGTTTAAGCATGATACCACTTCTATTTCATTGCAGATGCTTTAGAGATGAAGACTTAAGGGCAGATAGGCAACCTGAGTTCACACAGCTGGATTTGGAATTGGCTTTCACTCCTTTGGAGGAGATGTTATCACTGAATGAAGATCTGATTCGTAAGGTTTGAGTCTCACTACATGCTCTATGAATAAACTTGTGCCTGGTTCTAAAGATTGCTCAAAACTTACTGTTGAAGTCAACATTTGTTTGATGGCTGTCCATGGAAGTTCCAATTTGTTTCTTTGTGAGAAAAGCATCCAATGAATCTAGTTGTGCATCATATCCCAAAATAAGTTCAGTTGTGACAGCTAGCTCTGCCAATCTGAAACTTCCTCTAGTAGGAAATGGGATTCTAGTTTCATGTTCATGTCAACTTGAGAGTGAAATGGCTGGTTATTGCTAGCTAGGGGTGTATATGTGGTGTTTCTGCACACCTGCATTTCACGTTGGTGGCTGGTCAGTCAAGCTTTTGTCTGTGTAGTCCCAGAGACACCAGTACTGTAGATAATAGAGGCTCTCAAGTCTCATCAAGAATTGGAACTTTCCGGTCTTGGCTCGTACATGTTGGCAAAATATCAATTAGGTTCAATCATGAGCTTTCAATTGCATTTTCAGAACCTTTAAATGCCACTGAAAGTTGGATATACTTGTACATTTGCTGGATGAGTAACAATGATATTTTGCTTTGCAGGTTTTTTTGGAGATTAAAGGTGTTCAACTACCTGATCCGTTCCTCAGACTTACATATGCTGAAGCTATGAGTCGATACGGCTCTGACAGACCAGACACGAGATTTGAGCTTGAATTGAAAGATGTAATTGTCTGGTTAGACACTTCATTTTGCCATTTTCAGCACTTAAGTTGTAGAGTGAAAATGCAACACGAGAGCACATTGGTCCCTAGACAGTATATGGCTAAGGACCTTATAGGAAGGCAAAAGTTTTTATGTCAGTGATATTTTTCCACTCTATGTCTACTTTTACATCTACTATTCTTTGTTCTTGTTTTTTCTGAGTAGGGCATGTGGGCTAGTTAAGTTCATGTGTCATCATAACTATTCTGAAGCTAATGGTTGTTGAAAACCTATTTAAGTTCGAGCTTAAGGCTTTTAGAGTAACACTGAGTTTCTTAAGCTTTGATAAACTTCAATTAGTACAATAGCGGTGCATGCAATTGATTTTAAGTTTATTGTTCTGCATGCACATTCTAGATACTTTGCAGATGATATTTACTCTTCTAAGTATAATTTGGAATATTTAACTGGTTTGCAGGTGTCAGATATTTTTACAGAGACCCCTTTTAGGGTTTTTGCAGATAACTTGAAGAGTGGTGGGATTGTGAAAGCATTATGTGTTCCTTCAGCTGCTAAAAGTTACTCGAACTCAGCTCTGAAGAAAGGTGATATTTACAATGAGGCAATTAAATCTGGGGCAAAGGGTTTGCCTTTCCTAAAGGTCTTGGATAGTGGTAAGAGTAATTTTTATCTGTCAATTCATTTGCTTGCTTCTTTCCGTTACACATAAAATATTACTGGCTGCAGTACTTGACCTGAAAGTGTTTTAATCTTTATTTTTAGCTGAATTGGAGGGAATACCTGCATTAGTATCTGGTTTGGACCCATCAAGAAAAGAACAACTGCTGAAAAGATGCTCTGCAGGACCAGGGGATCTTATTTTGTTTGCAGTTGGTCATCATGCATCAGTCAATAGAACCCTAGACCGTCTTAGACAATTTGTTGCCCATCAACTGGGCCTGATTGACCATGTATGTTTGGCATTTTACACGTTACGAAATCAGTATGATCATCTTACGTTTTCTTTTGCTGTTGCTGATGATGTTTCCTGATTCTAATATTTAGTCCAGGCATTCGATTCTGTGGATAACTGATTTCCCGATGTTTGAATGGAATGATATGGAGGAAAGGCTCGAGGTATGGACTCTATACGAGTATTTGTCATGATTCCCCTGTAGTTCTCCTGACATTAGGAATCTTGAAATTTGCTGGTGTGCTTTGTGAATGGTCATTGTGAGTTCAAGTAGGAAGGAAACAAAAGGAAAAATGAACGCAATCTTGCTATTTATGCTTGTATCTGCTGCTTCTGTTGTTGGTCCAAAAATTCACAATCAAGTTTAACTATCTATTTGGTCACCTAAATGCAAAATGATATCTTCCTTTTTAATGTCTCCTCGATTTGATAGCAAGCATCTGCCAAATTATCTGTCCCCTTATAAACGTTGTTGTGTGCATTGGCAGCCATTACACCACCCATTTACAGCGCCTAACCCTGAGGATATGAATGATCTAGCCTCAGCTCGTGCCCTTGCTTACGACATGGTTTACAATGGCATTGAGGTAAATTGTCTTCCTCCTTTTCCGTAGTTTTCTTTGGGGAGCATTTAGCTGGAAGCTTGAAATACTGTTTTCAGCTGAATTTATGGATTTTGCACTCTGCGTTTGAACTCGTAGATTGGTGGAGGGAGTTTGAGAATCTACAAACGTGAGATTCAACAGAAGGTGTTGGAGATCATTGGCATATCCCATGAACAGGTTAGAAACGACAACCCCATTTTTTATGCGTTCTCGTGGACAAAATTGGAGAATCACCAAGAGATGGAAATTCCCAGATTGCTTCAGGTTGATGCAGGGGAAAGAAGAACAAATGTTGGTTTTGGTAAACTGTATGTTGCTTTATTTGCAGGCTGAATCAAAGTTTGGTTATCTTCTGGAAGCTCTGGACATGGGTGCCCCTCCACACGGTATGCGATTCTCCACTGTTTCTAGGGGTTCTATTGTGCTTTTCCTCGTAAGAGCTTTGATCGTGAAGGGATATCGTATCAAAATGATTGCAGGCGGCATTGCTTATGGGTTGGATAGATTGGTCATGCTGCTGGCCGGTGCGAACTCCATAAGGGATGTGATAGCTTTCCCGAAGACGACAACAGCTCAGTGTGCACTTACACGAGCACCATCGGAGGTGGATCCTCGGCAGCTCAAAGAACTCTCCCTCCTTCTTGCTCAACATTAAACTGAGCTGTTCCCATTTGGTCCCGGTTAGATAGGGGCCCAGTATTCTGGCTCCTCTGCCTCCAGCATAATGTGTTTCTACTATTTTGTTTCCTCGGAGGGTATGTATTTGTACAAGGCATAGCGATTAGCGGATTGGCTTAAGGAGGAAATTATTGTTGGTCGGAGGCATAATTAACAGGTGGTTTAGGTGGTTTGGAAGCTGTGATTGTTTTTTGAGATTGGTACAAGTCTCTTGGATCAAGGATTTGTACCGCCAATCCAACGCAAATGAGAGTTGGTCAATCAAGTGTTTGGGTGCATAAAAAACTGGATATGAACCGCAGGCCATGAATTTGGAACCTTTTTCATACCAAATTTGTGGGCCCAATGTATTTGGAAAACTGGCATAATTTGGTGAAATTTTGGAGTAGAAACAAAGACTTGATGCCAAATGACTCTCATGAAATATAATTATTCTATATTTTCTTTATTAATCAATTTTGCTTCTCTATGAAAGTGATGGTAATAATGAAAAAATAACACAAGAACTGAAACCATATGTTGTGACCGTTTATAACAATCAATACAAACATATAAATTTATAATAACAAGCAATGCAAACACGTTTATAACAAGAAATACGAGCATATGAAATTTATAAAAAGCAATACAAACACAAGAAAACTAGAGTAAGTTTATCCATGTTAAAATGTCAATTTTATGATTTTTCCATAAAATCTTGAGGTCTTATTGCCGTGTGAAAATCAAAATAGAAGTTTTGGATTCTATTGAATAAAAAGGTTACAAACCCAAGAAAAACGAAGGACAATTTTGAAAATTTTCTTGAAAAAATAAGCAAATTGATTGAAAATTAAAAAAAATATTTTAGGGGTAGTAAGGTAAATCAAACACTAAACTATAGATCATATTGAACACAATCCATCATAAAATCAAAGATCCAAACAATAATTTTTTCTATCTCAAATGTACCTAGGGATGCCAATTTCGGTCTGGTCTATTTTACCCGGCTTGTTTTGCCTGTTTTGTGGCAGAGCGGGTATGGGTACTCTCATCGACCTGACCTGTCTTGATTCACCCAATTATCGACCCATTCTTATCTAAATTACAAGTAATCTTTGTCAAATTACTTAAAATTTTACATTTATTACATCATATTTTAACAATAATAAAGTTATAAATGAGTGAAAACCTCAATTCTCCAATAATTTAACTACATTTATCATATAATGATTAGTTTCTTGATCCACATCATACTTCCCGCTTTTCTTGAAGAGGATGATGGCTCTTATCCAGTACTCTCACCAATTTGTGGCCCTTGTCGCTGTGCTTTGACGGATCTGGCAGTATCGAAACTAGGTTGTCTTTGAGGGCAAACAATTTGGTATCACAGCTTTGGCGTCAGTACCACCAACAGTATCATGAATGGATTAATTTGCTAGTGGAGAGTGTGATGCGGCCTTCCGCGCCCAGATTTGGTAGCGTTCATCTAGCCTCCCCTTGGTTCTATTATATGTATGTGGGATGAGGTGACGAGGAGTGAGTCCCATTCGGCTGGGAGATGACTATCCAAGATCAAGATGGGGAAGTGATTTTGGCTAAGGGAAACCTGATTGTTATTCCTAAATGTACCAAATTTATCACCAATCCTTCATTGTTCAAATCCTAAGACTTGACTCTTATAAAAATAAAATAAAAAATCCTAAGACTTGACACAAGCTTTTATTTTTTAAATCCTTGAACCAAAGAACTCTATAATATTTATTTGATTTGACAATTGACATAAATGGTCACTCAAATTAAAAAACGGACCAATCTCAATTTTTTGTTAAGATTGTTGAATCAATTTCTTATTCACAACGGATTTTGTTTTTAAAGAAAGGGGATTTGTCTGGTGGCGGGATTGGATCTCTCTCTCTCTCTCATAGCCACTGCTAACGGCACGTTATCTTCAGAATTTGGAGAAATGAAAAGACTTCACTCTCTCTTTCACACCATAAGTTCCTGAATAGTAATGTTCATCCACCAAAAGATTCTCAATTCTCATGTTACGTTGATGCTTTCTTCAATGCACTCCAATGTTCGTACCCGATTGATTCTTAACTTTGCACCAACCGCATCTACTTCTTCTTCTTCTTCTTCTTGGTACGTAGCTTAAAATTATGCTGTTGAGTAATTGCTGGCACTGAATCTTGGTGCAGGTTGAAAGCAGCCTCAAGTATTCATTCACCATGCAGCAGCAGCCAATAACCTCCTGCGCCTACTCCAATTTCAGATGCAGAGCCAAGAAATCAGCTGGTAGTGGTAACAATGGCGCTGGAAACGGTGTCGACCAGAGGCCCAGACGCGGCGAGACGCTTCATCTTGACAAAAGCGGGAGATGGCGAAGCTTCACAGCCAAAAAGATGTCCCGGAAAAGATGTAATAATTATAATGGCATCCATTAATTCTCCCATCAAAATCTGTTTCATCGTCACTCATCCTCACGGAAAATGGCAGGTGGTTCTTTGAGGGGATCGGGATGGAAGTACGGATCCGGATTCGTGGACGGAATCTTCCCAGTGATGACTCCAAGTGGTCAGCAGATTCTTGAACTGGTGCAGGGCGAAGAAGGAGTGGACGAAAACACCATCTGGACAATTCTTCATAATCTGCGTGCCTCTCACGACACATTCGACGACCTCGTCAATGTGCTCGTCCAGCTTCGTCTCAACCAAAAATGGGATCCAATTGTCATGGTAAAAGATTTAAGTTCAATTTCTGCGCTTTGTCTTCTCCATGTTTTCTTTCCCAATTGGAAAATGGTACGTGGCTGATTGAAGCTTGTGGGAATTTAGATATGCCAATGGATGTTGTACAGGAGCTCATTCAAGCCGGATGTGATCTGCTACAACTTGCTCATTGAAGCGTATGGGCGGCAATCACAACACAATAAGGCCGAATCCGTCTACTTTGAGCTTCTTCGTGCCAAATGCGTGCCTACCCAACATACTTACGCACTTCTTATCAAGGCATACTGCACTGCTCGCCTAACGGAGCAAGCTGAAGCGGTTGTTTCTGAGATGAACAAGTATGGCCTTCCACCCAGTACGTTACGTTCATTGACGGCAACAGACTTGTTCTTTTCTTTTTCTTCTTCTTTTTTGGCCACGAAAGCAAGCAAGCAAACAAGCGGTGGTGTTGCAATTGTATTGTATTGTATGATGAACACCTTTCCAATTAACTCTTTTGACCAGGTGCAATCGTCTACAACGCTTACATCGATGGACTAGTGAAGGCAGGAAACCCGTACAAAGCAGTGGAGATCTTTCAAAGAATGAAGAGAGACAACTGCCAACCTTCCGCTGAGACCTACACTTTGTTGATCAACTTATATGGCAAGGTGACTGCGCAGTAACTTCACTCTCCAAGTTGTTTGTTTACAAGTTACTGCTATTACTTCTAACAATTTGTGTACGTTGTAGCTTCATTTTGCCTGGTGGTAGTCTTTTCCTCAAATCTCTTCTTCTTTTTTAACATAATAATAATGGGCAGGCTAGGCGTGCTTACATGGCATTGAAGTTGTTCAACGAAATGAGAAGCCAGAGCTGCAAACCAAACATCTGCACATTCACCGCTCTCATCAATGCTTTTGCAAGGGAAGGGCAATGCGACAAGGCAGAGGAGATATTCGAGCAGCTTCAAGCAGATGGCTTCGAACCCGACGTTTACGTCTACAATGCCCTCATGGAGGCTTACAGGTCCTCCGCATTAGCTTTCATCACATTTAAACGTGCTGTCTATATTCTATAAATTACCTCCTTACAGTTGTAAAAAAAAAAAAAAATTTGTAGAGTCTTAATTAAATGCAAAGCCTTCTCTTTTTCTTGATCCTAACAGCCGCGCAGGTTTCCCTTATGGCGCAGCAGAGATATTCTCAGTGATGCAGCACATGGGTTGTGAACCAGATAGAGCTTCATTTAACATCATGGTTGATGCGTATGGCAGATCCGGGCTTCATTCCGGTAACATAACATATAGCAGACCCAAAACATTTATGTGACGTCTAAGTCAAGACATTAAACCAATATAACCAAAGAATGGAAAATGGACCCTAATAAGTGTGTGTTTCCTTTTTGCACTTTCTGGCAGAAGCAGAAGCTGTGTTTGAAGACATGAAGCAACTCGAGATGACACCAACAATGAAGTCCCACATGCTGCTTCTATCCGCCTATTCGAGAGCCGGGAATGTGGACAAATGCGAGGAGATCGTGAACCAGATGCAAGAATCTGGGATAGAACCAGACACATTTGTGCTGAACAGCATGATCAACCTCTATGGAAAGCAAGGCCTGTTCCACAAGATGGAACAAACTCTAAAAGCAATGGATCACAAGGGAGCTTACGCAGTACCCGACATTAGCACCTACAACATCCTCATCAACGTATACGGCAGGGCAGGGTTGCTGGAAAGGATGGAAGGTGTGTTCGGTTCTCTCCCCGAGCTGGGATTGAAACCAGATGTTGTTACTTGGACCTCCAGGCTAGGAGCTTACTCGAGGAAGAAGATGTACACAAAGTGCTTGGAGATATTTGAGGAGATGATTGATGCTGGATGTTGCCCCGATGGTGGGACTGCTAAAGTTCTCATGGCTGCTTGCTGTAGTGAGGATCAAGTTGAGCAACTTACCACTGTGATTAGGACTATGCACAAGAGTATCTCTACTACTACGCCTCTCTGAGATTGGGAGTCATTAACTCATGGTTTGGTGGTGGTGAAGTTCCAGGTGGGATCTCAGTCTCTCATTGCCTAATTTCATGCTTGTAAATAGAGAGGTTGGTCACACGAAAGAGGGCAGGGGAGAAGTCTTCTATACGTATATATTATCCATAGTTAGTAAAATACGACGACACGTTTAAAAGTTAGCAATCCATTATAAAATTATAAAAATGTAGAACTATAATATAAAATTTAATATAGATATAAAAATTATTAAATTATCAATTAAATTTCTTCAAATACTTGTATTAACATGTTATATGGGTTTCGCACGTGTTTAAATAAGGAAAGCATCAAACAAACGGGAAAAAATAAAATGTCTCTACAATAGTACGAAAATGATTGTTTTAAACTAATTTAGTACATATACGGGTATTAACCGGATTTTTGCTAACAATGATACTATCTTAGGGAACTTTTTCATAAATAGAAAATTCAAATTGTTGAAGCTATAGTATGGAAACGTTCCATTTTCGGTATTTTCTCGTTTCGTTAAACATTTTAAGTTTTGAACGAGGAAAATTACATAGCTGGCTCAACATACCTAGAATGGCAATTACCCACCCATGGTTAATTTTATCCAAACCCAAGTAGACCCATTGATTATTGGTAGGGTTTGTGTGAATTCTATATGGGTTAGGGGTTTTGTAGAAGAGTTTGGGTAAGGTATAAGTATTGCTTACATACTTAAAATGAGCATGAGTTGGGTTATACCCATTTACTTGAGCGTGTTTTAACTACACATATAAAAATTAGACTAATTTGTAAAACAGTTTAGGTATCAAAATGTTATACACAGAAATTTTAGGTACTAATATGTAATTTTTCATTGATTCTCGAGGACTTATATGCAAAAAATAGGTATTAAATCTAAATATCTATAAAGTTTAAGTACGAAACTGTAATTTGTATATGGGTATGGTACAAACCTAAATCCATGAATTAAAATCCCAACACAACCCAAATAAATGAGTATGTCAAAATAGGACCCATCACGATCAACCCGCCTGATCAACTTGATCGCAACCCGAATTGACTAAAATTTAATGACCCGCAACCCGATTAACTCGCAACTCGATTGACCTGCATCCCGATTAACCAGTAACCCGAGTAACCGAAAACCGATTAACCCGAAACCTATTGACCTACAACCCGATTGACTCGCAACCCGATTGAACCAAACCCGACTAACTCGAACCCATCTGATATATATAGTCTTTCAAAATAAAACTTTTTGTATCTAAACCTTAATAGTTAATATGCCATTTTTCATTTTGTAAAGGGAAGTTCAAAATATGAAATTCACTTGAAATTATGTATTTTAAAAAATTACAAAAATTGTAACATGAAATTCACTTAAACATTAATTCCTTTAGAAAAATTATTAACAATAAGAATACGAAATATAAAATTAAAATAATGCCAATATCGATAATGAATAATTAATAGTTAGACAATCTATAACATTAATATAGAATATACACATTAAAATTTTATTAATTTAACTATTTTGAAAAATTATCAATTAAGTATAAATATAGTAAAGCAATGTATTTGGAAATTGATTATTTTAATAAAATGGGAAATTTTGGTTTTTTCAATTTCTTAAAAAATAAAGAAGAGGATAATTTTGTGCTTTCAATTATTGGAGAACAAAAGAAGTAAGTGGTCGTTTGGATTGATGATTTGGAAAACTTGTTATTTGGGATCAATTACCACACAAATACTACATAACATAATACTTGTTATTTGGTATGTGATATTTGGCCACATGTGACAAATACTTGATCCCCTCCAATCATTTGGAAACAACACATGTAATATTTGACAAATACCACATCCAAATAACACACCCTCTTGTTTTTCAACCAAACATGTTATTTGGGGCCAAATAACACATTTTGTGTTATTTGAGCCAAATAAGTGCAATAACACCCTACACAATCAATCCAAACTACTACTAATTTTTTTGTGCTTTGGATTTATGGAAATAGAATTAAGGGGGTCTTGTGTTCAACTTTTTGGGGAAGAAATAAGAGAAATTTGTTGTTTTCATTTTCTTATGAGAGAAGAGGAGGGAAACATATGCTTTTAAATTTGGGGTTTAAAATTTCTAATATATCCTATTAGTGACACAGATACTCTATAATAGGGGTGTACATGGGTCGGGTGGTTCGGGTTTAACCATTTTAATCACCCGATCCTTACACTACGGTTTGAGAAATATTAAACCCAAACCCACCCAAAAAAATTTAAATCCTACGGTTTGTTTCTAATTGGGTTGGGTCGGGTTGGCGATATTTTTAAGTAAAAATCCAAACCAACACAAAATATGTAATTGTTCTAAAATATAAAAAATATTTTATAAATAAATAAATTTCGAATGAATAAACTGAGGTGAAAGGCATCAAATTTCACAAATGTTGTTTCAGTTTTAATAAAATGTGATTTACTTCAACATATGTCTAGTTTTTTCACGATATTTGTTAAAATGAGATAAAAAAGTTATAAACGAATGCACCCATAATATGTTATTCTATTTAAAAATTATACACAAGAAAAGGGATTACGGGAATCATAGCTATATTAAATTTATGTCTAAACTTTAAACCTAAGAATGCATTAAATTAGGGAGACCATGAGAGAAAAACATGGTGAAATATCTTAATTTTAGCATAAGTATGGCTATATATGACATAAATATTTTTGGATACGAACTCCTACCAATAGTTGGAACACGGGTTGGGTCGGGTTCTACGGGTTGTGTAATCCAAAATCTAAACCCAACCCAATAGAGGCGGGTTGTACAAAAGAAAACCCTCACCCAACCCAAAACCTTCGTTTTAGCGATAAATACGGGTAGGTTGGGTCGGGTTGGACGGGTGGCTCGGTTTACGGGTGTGTTTGTTCACCCCTACCCTATAAGGCTAATAAGGTTTACAATAGACAATGTTTTAGTCACTAAATGTTAAAGTCCTAATCCTAAACATCATATGTAAACGTTGTAGTTTTGTACTACAACCTGCTTTCGAAGTAGTTAGAATGATGTGATTGAGATAAGATAAATCATGATATGTTCCCAAATCTACTATATGGAATTAGTAATGTCCTTAAATGCTATAGTAATGTTTATTATGGATAATATCTGTGTCACTAAATGTTGAACTACTCAATCAGCAATATAGCATTAAAGGGCAGTACTAATAGGAAATAATAAATTTGGGAACATATCATGAGGTATCTCATATCAATCATGTCATTCGAACTATCTCAAATGCAGGTTATAGTATTGTTATGGCTTCAATAACTAAATGACTAGTTGGCTATAATGGAATTGAGAACTTATCATTAGTCATCTTATCATAGCAAACCAATCGATCATGTTATAGTACACATAACCTATCATCCGTGATATGAACTAATTTAACAACTTGTGCTAAACAACATATTTATGTGTTCACACTTGTTATATATACTTTGATATATTTTGAGAAATCAGAACCTTTATTTATAATTATTTAGATAAATGAATTTTATGGATCGGGTTAGAGAATTAGGGACCGAGGTTTACCCATTAGAAATTAAAGTATAATATCATACCCTAAAATCCGTTAATTTGTGATTTAATAGTAAAACTCGACGTCGTATGATAGTATGAAGTATGACCGCAAATGTATAACATATGACTAGCATACACTAGCATGAACTATATGTGTGTTTGTTTATGACTTTACATTAGAAAATAATTTGACGGCTATGTCAAATGGAGTCTCAAAATAATTGAGGGAGGGAGACAAAAAAATGGAGCCAAAATTTTGAGATTTAATTATTTGAAGAGGGGGGAAATTATGGAGCCAATTCCTAACGCGAATCAAAGTGGCGGGGTGGGATATGTACATTGTGTGAGCAGTGTACTTTTGAGCCAAAAATATTTTGTAAATTCTTTTACCAATACTAAACTTTTTTATTTTGACGAAATTAGTAGTAACTAATTAATAGTCCTCATAACTATAATTACAATTACTATTAATTATATGGCAAGTTTGCAAGTCATACAATTCCAATAGTTTGATCACATAAATGATAGCAAATTGATTAGCGTATTTTACCAATGATAATTAATTCCTTGAGAAGTTTGCAAGTCATATAGTTCCAACCGCTTGATAATGTAAACTGACATATAATCAACCATTTGACAACACCAAAACCAATCCGCTAGATAATGTTTCAAACAGTCAAAGTAGCGGTACATGGACCAGCCCAGATCGATATTTAAATATACTTGCTCTATATTGCACCCATCTAAGGTTTAAACTTGGACCTTAGGTGGGATTTTATAGTGATAGTTAGAGCTAGTCAATTTTTTGCGGCGTTGCCGGGGACTTTGGTCCATTATCGTGAAAAGTTTATTTGGTGTTATTCTAACTTTTAATTTTTATTTTTGTTAAGTTGTGAAGTGCTTGCTTGTGGTAGACGAGTTGTGTAGGGAGGTCCATGACCCGGAGCAATCTGACGCCTTTAACACCATTGGACGAGGACATCAACCGGACCCTCCGACTTCTAGCTCGGGAGAGGGAGCAAGCGGAGGCAAAAAGGAGAAGTGAAGAAAGGGGACAACAAGTTGATCTCAGGCTTGAAGTAAGTGAAGAAGGAGGTGTAGTTGAGATGGCAGAAAATCAACACCGAGGGGCTAATCTCCTTCCAAACCCAAATTGAGAAGTGGGGGTCGAGAAAGGGCCAAGGACTATGGGCTATTACATGGCTCCACGGGCGGCGGATATCCAATCTCCCATCTTACATCCACCCGTGGCCGCCAACAACTTTGAGATCAAGACCTCTCTCGTGACGACGATTCAACAAAATGCTTACTTCCACGGGCTTCCCATGAATCATCACGAGAGCATGTCCAAAGGTTCCTTGAGCTAGCGGGAAGCTTGAAGATAGATAGGACAAATCTTATACTTCAACATCCTCCATAGTGCTACAACTACCTCCCTAGGTTGCATATCACCATAAAGACTGTCAATTCAAAGCATACTGAGCAGGATTTTGCAGGGAACAGTACTTGGAGCCTTCAAATTTAAAAAATTGAACAGTGGACTAGGCTCCAAGCACACAAACAGAGCTAAACAGTCTAATAGAAACATCCCCCACACTTAAGTTCGACATTATCCTCAATGGAGAAGAGGGAAAGATAAGGGGAACGATGTTACC